CTAAAAACAGCTGCTCATGTGACGTGTTTCTTACTATTTACTTCACTCTTCTCAGAATCACTTTTCTGTTTCTTGTTTTATATTTAATTCCTGTAATCTGAGTTTATTTCACAACTGTGTGGATGGCGATGAGCATGTTAACTGCAGAAATCGGAGGTTCCTCTTTCTATGTGGTCACCATCTATAACTCTGGTCAGAGTTCAGTACGCACCCTTCAGTAACTCTGTTCGGTGTGTGTTCGGTCTGCACCTTTCCGTAACTCTGATTGTTGTGTGTTAGGTCCGCACCTTTCCGTAACTCTGGTTGGTGTGTGTTCTGTCCGCACCTTTCCATAACTCTGGTCGGTGTGTGTTTGGTCTGCACCTTTCCGTAACTCTGGTCGGTGTGTGTTCGGTCTGCACCTTTCCGTAACTCTGGTCGGTGTGTGTTCGGTCTGCACCTTTCCGTAACTCTGGTCCTCGCCTGTGTTTGTGATTTCCAGTACCTGTGAGATTTCGATTTTTTTTTTTTAGTTATACGTATACATGTCCGGCCTGAATGATGTCAGTATTACAGATGTTATCCTGTGAGATTTCGATGTTTTTTTTAGTTATACGTACACATGGCTGGCCTGAATCATGTCAGTATTACAGATGTTATCCTGTGAGATTAAATTTGAAAAGCAATTAGGATAAAATGTAATTGATAAGTAACATCTGCCACAATTTTATCATTAGTTATCATTATAGTTTAGTTCATAATCTTTCACTCAGTCATTTTTATGCATGTATTATTGCATACAGTATACCAAATATGTATGTGAGAAATACGCCTTTGATACGATCGTGATATTACCCGCCACCGCTAACCCGTGTCTGTGTATCCACTCGCTGTCTTTGATAGACGTGATTAATGAGATTCCTCAGAATAGTTCACGAATAGCAGGAGAAACGTCAGCAGGCCTCGGTTCTTGGTCTGTGAGTCGTGATTCCGGTTCCAGGCTGTTTGGCTATCGGTCGTGATCAGATGCTGTGCGGCATGTCGTGTTTATGCTTCCCTCGCATTCTCACCCCCATTCCCTCCCCCGTACCCTTTGCTGACCCCCCCCCCCCCCCCCCCCCCCTCCTCCCCCCCCCCCCCCCCCATGTGTGCTCTCTCCTGTAGGACGACCCCATCGGTAACCTCAACACTGCCTTTGACGTGGCGGAGAAGTTCCTCGATATCCCCAAGATGCTGGACGCTGAAGGTGAGCCACTGATGATTCTACTGCCCCCTGCTGGTCTCTGAAGCATGGCACATTCCATCCTCGGTGTTGGCAGTGTTGCTGAGGGTGGTGTTCCTGGTACTGGTGGACGTCTGGCTGCATGTTGGAAGTGTTCAGGCCGAGTAGCTGGCCGATGCCGCCATTAACAATCAACAGAGGTGGTGCCATGAAATGGACGTCCACCTTTCCTGTGCCGTTCCTTTCTCGTTCCTCTGATTGCTGCATCGAATTTACTTCACATTTTTTGGGCTGCATGCTTCAAACTCAAATCTGAATCAAAATATCTGCGGTGGAATATTGTTCTTGTTGGTCACAGTGCAAATAAACAATAAATATTTAGACTCTATATTCCATTTTTAGATATTGTTAACACCCCTAAGCCTGATGAGAAAGCTATCATGACCTACGTTTCCTGCTTCTACCATGCCTTCGCTGGAGCTGAGCAGGTGAGAGGCAGCATCTGCTCTTCCTCATACGGCACATGGTCGGCGGCCGGTATTTTCATGTCATACCATTATCATCTGAATCCTCTATCCTTCCCCCAGGCTGAGACGGCTGCTAACAGGATCTGCAAGGTCCTGGCTGTGAACCAGGAGAATGAGCGTCTGATGGAGGAGTATGAGAAGCTGGCTAGCGAGGTAGGACCCCAGTCCACACGCCAGAATCGCCCTTGTGCTCCGTCTCCGCCGAGCTGATCAATCCTCCTCCCCCGGCCCCCAGCTGCTGGAGTGGATCCGCCGCACCATCCCCTGGCTGGAGAACCGAGTGGCGGAGCAGACCATGCACGCCATGCAGCAGAAGCTGGAGGACTTCCGGGACTACCGTCGCGTCCACAAGCCGCCGCGCGTTCAGGAGAAATGTCAGCTGGAGATCAACTTCAACACCCTGCAGACCAAACTGAGGCTGAGCAACCGGCCTGCCTTCATGCCCTCCGAGGGCAAGATGGTGTCGGTAGGCGACCCACCGCACCGGCCTGCCGCACTCCATGCCCAATGCAAGACATGCCTGACATTGTCACATGCTGCCCTCTGCTGCCCTTAGGACATTGCCAATGCTTGGAAAGGTCTGGAGCAGGTAGAGAAGGGCTACGAGGAGTGGCTGTTGACAGAGATCCGCCGCTTGGAGAGACTGGACCACCTGGCTGAGAAGTTCAAGCAGAAGTGCTCCCTGCACGAATCCTGGACTGCAGGTACGGAGATTTGGGACAGAGAGCAAAGCGAGTGGGAACATCAGTCCAGGTGCATTGAGTCAGACTTGAGACATAGACTGAGCATGATGTGAAACATCCTGTAGATCTGGGTTGTATCAGCAGTTACTCTGGTAAGGTCCTGAGATGTTTCTTCGGTGCCAACGTGCAGGGAAGGAGGAGCTGCTAACACAGAAGGACTACGAGTCGGCCTCCCTGATGGAGATCCGCGCCTTGATGAGGAAACACGAAGCGTTCGAAAGCGATCTGGCCGCCCACCAGGACAGAGTGGAGCAGATTGCGGCCATTGCTCAGGAGCTCAAGTAAGCTGGAGTGGGCCGAGACCACAATGTGAATGGAAATCGGACGGTGCATCCACAGCAGGCGTGTGTGAGCTGTCTGTCGTTTTCCCGGGGAGCTAGTGAGCTGGATTACCACGATGCTGCCACCATCAATGCCCGGTGCCAGGGAATCTGTGACCAGTGGGACAACTTCGGCACCCTGACCCAGAAAAGGAGAGATGCTCTGGAGGTATGAGAAGCCCCCCCCCCAATAACTTTCAGAGCCAGAGGGCCAATTTCCCTTGATCAGATTATCAATGATCAGGAATCTACGCTTACTTAAAATTAGTTGGTTTAAGTAGACAGTTCAGCTAGCACTTACTGTCAGCTTGGATTATTCATTCTGTATCTGTGCTCCAGCGTGTTGAGAAGCTGTGGGAGACCATCGACCAGCTGTACCTGGAGTTTGCCAAGCGGGCAGCGCCCTTCAATAACTGGATGGATGGGGCAGTAGAGGACCTTCAGGACATGTTTATCGTGCACAGCATCGAGGAGATCCAGGTATGTGGAGATGCCAGTTGACAGACGGTTGGACTGGCAAGTCGACAGATAGAGTAAGATGACCATGCTGTTTGATATCTGTCCCACGTTCCCCTATCAATATGCTCCTCCTCTCTCAGAGTTTGATCACAGCCCATGATCAGTTCAAGGCCACTCTGCCCGAGGCCGACAAGGAGCGCATGGCGATCATGGGAATCCAGAACGAGATTCTGAAGATTGCCCAGACATACGGCATCAAGCTGTCTGGTATAAACCCGTACACTAACCTCTCCCACCAGGACATTATCACCAAGTGGGAAACTGTAAGTAGGCCCAGATACGGTCACGCGTTCTTCCTCCTTGTCTCGGCGAACTGGAAGCTACCCATGTTCCTGGTTTCTGATGTTTGCAGGTGAAGCACCTTGTTCCTCTCAGAGACCAAATGTTGCAGGAGGAGGTGGCGAGACAGCAGGCTAATGAGAGACTCAGGCGTCAATTTGCAGCTCAGGCTAATATCATTGGACCCTGGATTCAAACAAAGATGGAGGTATTGCAGATCCTTAACTTTGCATATCTTTCATATTTGCCCATATTTACCTAGTTGCCTTAATAAATTAAGCAGCTCTATAGGTTCTATAGGTGTAATGATCAAAAAGCCCATGTGATTGCCACGTTTGTAGCGATCGATAATCATCCACTGTTTCTTCCGCTGTGTTTGCAGGAGATCGGCCGCGTCTCAGTCGACATCGCCGGCTCCCTCGAGGAACAGATGAACAACCTGAAGACGTACGAGCAGAATATTATCAACTACAAGTCCAACATTGACAAGCTGGAAGGAGACCACCAGCTCATCCAGGAGGCCCTTATCTTTGACAACAAGCACACCAACTACACCATGGAGGTGCTGATGTGAAGTGATGATATCTGCATCCCTACCGTAGAATGCTGTTGGGCCACATTCCTGGTCATTGTAGAATATGCTGGTTTTCTTGGTTACCAATTTGCCCAATTTTTTTTCTGATATTATGGGATGTCTTTGGCTTAATCTCTCCCTCAGCATATCCGCGTGGGCTGGGAGCAGCTCCTCACTACCATCGCCCGCACCATCAACGAGGTGGAGAACCAGATCCTGACCAGAGATGCCAAGGGCATCAGCCAGGAACAGCTGAATGAATTCAGGGCCTCCTTCAACCACTTCGATAGGGTGAGAAAAACGAGCACGACCAGGGAGGGAAGGATTAAGAAAAAGAGGAGAACTGTATAGAAATGACATTGGTCTAGTGCGCGAGGTTTTAGGAATTCCAGAACGTTTTAACTGTTGCTCAGAAGGTGCATTATTTTCAAATGGCAATGAAAGCATCTCCTCCCTACAGAAGAGGAACGGCATGATGGACCCGGACGACTTCCGCGCCTGCCTGATCTCCATGGGCTATGATCTCGTGAGTAGATGACGTGCCAAAGGGATCTGTAGCCTGGAGTACAGGGGACCTAGTTTAGGCAGCGATACAGGAACCAGCAACAAACCGTATGAGACGGATCCCCCTGTCTTTTGGATCCCTTGTATTTACCGCTCAGGTGTGTTTCGTTTTCTGTGTATTGTACGGAGATTGACGTGAGGTTTTTAGCGATGTTTGCACAGCTCTTTTCCCTGCCCCACTTTACGCTTGTGTCTGGTTTATCCCCAGTAGCTTAGCTTAGTAGCAAGTTAGCTCCTTGACAGCTGTACGCTTGTTAGGTATTGTCTGGTTTAGTCGTAGTTCATTTCTGAGCCAAAGCTGAAAGAATAAATGTAAACGCAGGTGACTGATAGCTTCTTATTCTTGGTTTACATGGAACCTGCAGAGCTGCTCTGTGCTGCGTAGGTGATTATTGACAGCAGAAAGCCTTAGTGGAGAAGAACATTTGATCTATTTTTAGCTGAGCCGAGTGCTTATTCTGGGATGCTTTCTCTCGGATCCCAAACTCTCTGGTCTCGCCGTCTCCTCAGGGTGAGGTGGAGTTTGCCCGCATCATGACGCTGGTCGACCCCAACAACACAGGCGTGGTCACCTTCCAGGCCTTCATCGACTTCATGACCCGAGAGACCGCCGAAACCGACACTGCTGAACAGGTCATGGCTTCCTTCAAGATCCTGGCGTCGGACAAGGTGAGCGGCCAAGGCTCGGCGTTTGCACCTGCTGCGGCGTCCCTGGACAGCAGGGCTTACGCAAAAACAGTGCAATAATGAAAGACCCCTAAATGTCCTTAAACAGAACCCCTCTCAGGGCAATTAGCATAGTCCTACCCGGCCCAGCTAGATTTAATTAACCAAGGCATCTACAGGCTGATGGATTGCCGCGGTAATGTGATGAATCACCGGAGCGCAGTGTAATCGCTGCCTTCCCCATCGTGATGAGCATACAAAGCTGGAGAAGAATTCGCATGTAGGATTCTATCCTGCGTCTCGTACTGTTTGTAAAGTTCCGATATCTCCACGACGATGATGCAATCACCGTGTGATGATGTAATGCTGCATAGCAACAACGCCTTCCTTCTGGCAGAATTACATCACAGTGGAGGAGCTGCGCAGAGAGCTGCCACCCGAGCAGGCCGAGTACTGCATCAGCCGCATGACCAAGTTCGTCGGGACCGACGCCCCCACCGGTGCCCTGGACTACATCTCATTCTCCAGCGCCCTTTACGGAGAGAGTGACCTGTAAACACCCTGCTCGCTCGCTCCATCCTCCCCGCCCCCGGCCCACTGTCTCCGTACCCTTTATAGCTACCATGCTGTCTGTTCCGGTTCCTTGTGCCCCAGTTTTCAAACCTGCCTCTAGGGACTGGGAGGCTGTGCTTCATAACCACATTGTAATGGTCACACTGGCGGTTATTTTTTTTCCTCTTATATTACAATAAATATCAGTAACGTCACCTCCCCAAATTCAACATTGTTTGTATCTTGGCCCACAGTTGGTCACGCAATGATTTAGCCTGTTGGAGAATATCGGCCAGCTGCTACAAATACTGCAGATCACAAGCAGGCGAGTCTCACATATAAAATGTTCTCTCGTGGTAATTATGAGCAAAGCCACCCAGTCCCTGTTTTAAAGGCATGTCCTCCTCTTAGATGGTGATTCTTGGTTGGTTATTGTTTTTGCCGACGTCCGCTGTCTTGTAGGCATTGTCTGTACGACACCCCCTCGTTGCCGTGTAATTAAGATGCCGTGTTGCTGTGACGGTCCTCGTTTCCCTTAAAGCTCATGGTTACATCCAAGTACATCAGATCCTCTCATCAGGAACAACGGCTGAATGTTTATTAACTGTTAAGTGAGTATGGTTTTCTTAAGAATGGTCGGGAAGAGCCAGAATCATTTTCTGGTGGTTTTGAGAACGTAGATGGGAATGGCCGTCAAATTAGCAGGAGAAGTGTGCAGACCAAGGCGAGATGGTAATGAAACAAAAATATGATGGGGAAGGAAGGAGATCGATCTGGAAGCCGCTTCATTCAGCTGAGGGACGTGTGACTAAAAGCATCCCAGCAAAAAAAGACTAGATCTGGAGCTGGATGCAAAGAGGTCCACTGTCCTTTGAAAATGGTGTTATATAACCATTGTACCTTCGTTATAAACACGTTCTCTCTCCATCTCATGTTTGTTTGCTAAAGGGACAATGCTGTTTGTATGTTTAGTGTGTGAGAAAATGTGAACTAAGAGTTTTAAGCATGGGGATGTGTTTCCTGTGTCACTGGAAAGTGCTTACAGTCAGAGGATCTACAAGACAACCATCCGCAGGGCTGTAAGACCTGCCCGTGGAGTAGAAGTGGAATCCAGATAAAAGAGGGTGGCTGTTAACTGGTCAGATGCCATCTCTGGTTCTGGTTCTCTGAGGAACGTGTCCTACTCTGTACTGCTGCCCCCCCAGCCTGTCCTGCACTTCTTGCTTCCTGTGATGACATAAGAGGCCTTCATTGGTTCAAATGGATGTGACACCTTGGAATAAAAATGAATCTATACGACAACACTTAGGTTGTATTTATTTCCACACTCTGATTGGTGGTTGGGGGTGGGGGGCACGGTTTAGATACTGAATTCATTTCCGCTCCTGCTTTTGTTTGACGTTTGAATTCCTTCAGCGATTTCTGCTGGTCAAATCCAAGTTACAGGGCTGTCACAAAATATATTAGGTAGTCTGTATTGCGATAATTAGTATTTTTCAAGAGTTCTTTAATACATGACATATTACTGAATTTAATTGACTATCCATCATTTAGTGGCTTATTTGCAGTTTTCTATAAGCAGATTTCTTTAGGTTGTGTATTACACAGCAGTTTGTAGTATAATACTATGGATTAACTTGAAAGATGCGAAATACGAAACTGCATGTTTTTGACTAACATTGTGCCCAACACCCAAGTGATGCTACATTCGAAAGAACACTTAGCATGATTTCACAGCGCTTTCACCTGTGGAGACATGGTCTGTCTACATGGCTCTGGCTTCCCCAGTTTTCAAGCCTCCGCTGTGTTCAGGCCTCCTGAAGTGGTATGGCCCCTCCAGTGCTCCAGCGTCTCCAGTGCTCAGGCACCTCCAGTGCTGCGGCCTCCCCAGTGCTCAGGCACCTCCAGTGCTCTGGCCTCCCCAGTGCTCAGGCACCTCCAGTGCTGCAGCCTCCCCAGTGCTCAGGCACCTGCAGTGATCTGGTCTCCCCAGTGCTCAGACCCCTCCAGTGCTCAGGCCTCCCCAGTGTTAAGGTGCCTCCAGTGATCTGGCCTCCCCAGTGCAGTATCACTGATCACACAAGCCACTCACACACCGTCCAAAGCTGGGCGGTGCTGATTCTCCTCCAGATTTGGCAAATGGGAGCCAATTTGTTCTGCAGCTGAAAACTCCAGACCGTAATGGAGGGCTGATCCGTTTGGACTCGGGTCATGATCCGTGTCCAGAAAAGATAATGTGTGATGTGTGTCTGTATGTGCATGTCTGCATGTACAGTATATCTGTGTGTGCATGTACAGTGCATATGTACAATGTGTGTGTACAGCATGTCTGTGTGCATGTATTTACAATATGTGTGTATATGTACAGTATGTGTGTATATGTACTGTGTGTGTGTGCATGTACAGTGCATATGTACAATGTGTGTGTACAGCATGTCTGTGTGCATGTATTTACAATGTCTGTGTATATGTACAGTATGTGTGTATATGTACTGTGTGTGTGTTTATGGACAGTGTGTGTGTTTATGTACAGTGTGTGTGTTTATGTACAGTGTGTGTACCGTGTTGTACCAGTGTGTATATGTACAGTGTGTGTACCGTGTTGTACCAGTGTGTATATGTACAGTGTGTACCCCCCAAACACTTCCCTCCTTGTACAAACACTCTGCCTATCTGCCTTATTTAAAATAAACCACAGCCCATGTTGTGTGTCCCCCCCCCCCAAACCCCAGTCATTCACATAAAAACAATCCCATTTTTGGCTGTACCGAATGCAGAGCGCATCCACTGCACCTCTCACCCCGCGGCGTCTGTCTGCAGCTCGCAGGCCCCGCATCAGCACCACCGCCACGCAAATACTGAATGCGACTAAAAC